GTTTTAAATATATTTTACCTTATAATCGCTGTAGACGAATCTGAAAGCAGTCATATGGCAGCAAACTGAAAGTAAAGTAAAAAAATAAAAAAGAATTTTAAATTGTACAACCTTTTAACTTGCAGGGATGGGCACTCTCGAATTTCTTAATTATAGTCTACCCCGACTTCCTGTTTCTATCATGATACATATTAGCCACTATCAGTAAGGACCGTCAGTAGGCCTAATAAACAAACATGTTCAACTGCCAATTTACTGTTAGTTCCCTTCAGTTGGTTTAGCCTACGTTATCATTCCATTTAATGACATTTTCTTTACCTTAATTTGCTTCCTCTGTAAAGCCGTCACGGCCGTGTGGTTGATGCTGAGGATCATTAGTAACAGACTAATTAAATTGTTATGAAGCAGAGTGCAGACCAAGCGGAACAGACCAGGCCGTGTCATCACACAGTTCCATGGTCAGTGCAGGCAATAGATGAGGGTACATTTACATTTTAGTCATTTAGCAGACGCTCTTATCCAGAGCGACTTACAGTTAGTGAGTGCATACATTATTTTGGGAATTGAACCCACAACCCTTGGCGTTACAAACGCCATGCTCTACCAACTGAGCTACCCTGGACAACGCGCCGCCCCCCATGGGGTCTCCCGGTCGCGGCCGGCTGCGACAGAGCCTGGATTCGAACCAGGATCTCTAGTGGCACAGCTAGCACTGCGATGAAGTGCCTTAGACCACTGCGCCACTTGGGAGGGTATAGCTAATACTATTGTAACCTCTCCCTATTATAATGATATATACACACACTAATCTTCCAACATTACCATGGGTTGAAGAACTGAATGTGGCAATTTTCAGAATTAATAAAACCACAATTTTCTTACTTTCGTGCATAAAGGCTCTTCAAACCTGTTTGAGTCATAAATACTTTCCTAACACTAAATAATCTACAAGATCAGAGTATTTTTAAAATCAGGCCTCCTGAGTGGCGCAGCATCGCAGTGCTTGAGGCGTCACTACAGACCCGGGTTCGATCCCAAGCTGTGTCACAACCGGCCGTGACCGGGAGTCCCATTGGGCGGCGGGGGGGCTTTACTTGGCTCAGTGCTCTCTAGCGACTCCTTGTGGCGGGCCGGGCGCCTGCAGGCTGACTTCGGTCGTCAGTTGAACGGCGTTTCCTTCCGACACATTGGTGTGGCTGGCTTCCGGGTTAAGCGGGCGGGTGTTGAGAAGCGCGGTTTGGCGGGTCATGTTTTGGAGGACGCATGACTCGACCTTCGCCTCTCCCGAGCCCGTTGCAGCGATGAGACAAGATCGAAATCACGAAATTGGGGAGATAAAGGGGGTAAAATACCAATTTAAAATAAATATAATTGAGTATTTTTAAATCTAACAATTTGTGCTGCGACGGGGACTAATATGCATATATTCCGACGGCTTTCTTTAATTGATCCCTAACATTCTGAACCCATTCTCTCTATATTCTAGTGAGTCTTGACAAAATTCGAACTAAAAAGGTATATGTATTTAAAGGGATGATACACCGTATTGAATGAAAACTCCATATTATTTATATATATATATATATATATATATATATAATATATTATATATATATATATCTATATATATATATATATATATTATATTATATTATATTATATATATAGGCCAGCAAGTGGGAGGGTTTTCAGTGATTTAATTCCATTTATTCAGCGTGCGCAAAGGAACCACAAACTACTGAGAAGTGCGTAATTTCCTAAATCGGAATCAGGCCCCAAATAAATAGAAGCAAAGAAAGCAGTCTAATCTCACACTGAGTGAACACAAAGTCCATGTGTTTATTTCAAAATACTTAAGGCAATTATGGGACCGTAGATAGGGCTGGACATAAGAGCCGTAGATAGGGCTGGACATAAGAGCCACACACTTACACACAAGACGTCGTCTCCCCTTCTACACACAGTAAAAAATAAAGACATTCCACCAGGGTTGGGATCAATTCCATTTCAATTGAAAGTGAAGTTCCAATTGTCCTTGTTTTTCCAATGAGGAAAATAGGAATTTGAATCAGTTTACTTCTGAATTGACTTAAATGAAAATGGACCCCAACCCTAATCTTCTACATACACAGGTAATGTGGGGCACTTCAGGCTGGACGAATCAATGCATTTCAGATTATCCATAATTTCTTTACAACTAATTTTTTTTTTTTTTTACACTGCATATAGTAAGAAGTTCATGGTCCTTTTGTATATTTCTCCCGTATAACAAGCATAATGCCACAGTCACACATTCTTCAAGATAGGAAAAATAAAAAAGTTATATCATTTTAAAAAAATATGAACTTCTAATGAGGATCGTCACGTAAACAAAATAAACGCTATATAACCAGTTGACACTTCTCAGATCATGCTTTAAAAAACGTTTACTATGTGTCGTCTTGGGGATGCGTCCCAAATGACTCTCTTCCATTTATTAGTGCACTACTTTTGAACAGGGCCCATTGGGGAATAGGGTGTCATTTGGGACGCATTGTTGCTTCTTCAAGTAAAAACAAAACAGAAGGATGTAACAAATGGGATCATTTCACAGTCGATATGAACACAGCGAGCGTTTCCACAGCAACACACTACACCAGCCTGAGGGATATACTACAACTTGCCTAAATAAGGTTAGTTTGTAATTTAAAAAAATCAGCTTGAAATGGGAATCGTCTACTCTAATTGACTCAACAACCAAAAACACATTCACTATATATACAGCAGTATGTGGACACCCCTTCAAATGAGTGGATTCTGCTATTTTCAGCCACACCCGTTGCTGACAGGTGTATAAAACTCGAGCACACCGCCATGCAATCTCAACGTGGCACCGTCGGTTTGTCAAATTTCTGCCCTGCTAGAGCTGCCACGGTCAACTGTAAGTGCTGTTATTGTGGCAACGTCTAGGAGCAACAACGGCTCAGCCGCGAAGTGATAGGCCACACAAGCTCCCAGAACGGGACCGCCGAGTGCTGAAGTGAGTAGCGTGTAAAAATAGTATTTCCTCAGTTGCAACACTCAGTACCAAGTTCCAAACTGCCTCTGGAAACAACGTCTGCACAATAACTGTTTGTCGGGAGCTTCATGAAATGGGTTTCTGTGGCCGAGCAGCCGCACACAGGCCTAAGATCACCATGTGCAATGCCAAGCGTCGGCTGGAGTGGTGTAAAGCTCGCCGCCATTGGACTCTGGAGCAGTGACAACGCGTTCTCTGGAGTGATGAATCACGCTTCACCATCTGGCAGTCCGACGGACTAATCTGGGTTTGGCAGATGCCAGGTGAACGCTACCTGGCCCAATGCATAGTGCCATCTGTAAAGTTTGGTGGAGGAGGAATAATGGTCTGGGGCTGTTTTTCATGGTTCGGGCCTAGGCCCCTTAGTTCCAGTGAAGGGAAATCTTAACGCTACAGTATACAATGGCGTTCTAGACGATTCTGTGCTTCCAACATTGTGGCAATAGTTTTGGGAAGGCCCTTTCCTGTTTCAACATGACAATGTCCCCGTGCACAAAGCGAGGTCCATACAGAAATGGTTTGTCGAGATCGGTGTGGAAGAACATGACTGACCTGCACAGAGCCCTGACCTCAACCCCATCGAACACCTTTGGAACGCCGACTGTGAGCCAGGCCTAATCGCCCAACATCAGTGCTGAACTCAGTAATGCTCTTGTGGCTGAATGGAAGCAAGTCCCCGCAGCAATGTTCCAACATCTAGTGGAAAGCCTTCCCAGAAGAGTGGAGGCTGTTATAGCAGCAAAGGGGAGACCAACTCCATATTAATGCCCATGATTTTGGAATGAGATGTTCGATGAGCATGTGTCCACATACACTACATGACCAAAAGTATCTAAGTTTATATTTCTGGTTGTTTGTCAAAGTTCTCTGGCTAACGTATACCCCTCTGGTCCCAGATCCGTTTGTGCGGTCTTGCCAACACCTATGGTCAATGACAGCAGTTGGTCAGCAAGAGAGTACGGATCAGGCTAAGTCCATACGCTCTCCGTTCGAGGGCCTTTCTCAAAACGAGGCCAGGTTCAGTAGCCAGACGTTTTGGAACGTTGCAGATAGAAATGCCATGAATAAGGGTCAACATTATTCCTTGTTCTACACGTCAGAGGCATGTTGGTTCTACATAGTATATTTCTATCTGAACGTTCCAAAACGCTGCGTCCTGCTGAACACGCCCCCAGGATGTAACAATAGGTGGTTGTTATGGCGATACAGCGATAAGGGGTTGAGGAGGAGAGAAGGGAGGAGCTATGGAAGATGGGAGTGGACAGTAGAGGGGTTGGAATAGCATACTAGACTGCTGCAGATGTAGGATCTTCATTTTATCACTTTAGTTGTAGAGAATTTTCCAAGTTAACTTGTAGTGTATTTGAGTTTTAAAAAGGCTTCTAAAATGTGGAATTTCCACTTTGAAAATGTCAGACTTGATTTGCCCTAAAGAAAAAAAATGTATCCATTAATTATAATCCACATAATAATTCACATTTCCTGTTGCTGCAGGATTATTTTCCTGCTGTAGCAAACTGGCTCAAATTAAGGTCCTACATCTGTATGAAGAGGATAAATAGTGGTTGTAAGCCACAATGTGAAATGACTTCAGGCAGGGGTTTGGGCTTTAGGGGAATGTTAAAGTAGATGACTCATCCCAGTCCATTTGTCTGGCAACAACAACAACCAGAGGGTCTGAATAGCTTCCTCCATCCCACTCCTTCTGTGTCCAAAGGCATCAAAACATAAATCACTATCATATTTTATAATTGTACATAGCAGCCACCGAAGATAGTTGACAAAGTAACAACACAAAAAAAAAAACATAAGGACGTTGAGGAAAACAATCTAGGATTTTGCTGGTAGATTTGCTTTTATTTTCAAGTCTTTTTCCAATGTAATGCATGTTAAAAATGTATGGCCCAGCTCTCCCTTTCCTCTTATCTGGACATATACTGCATCACGATCTCTCCTTCTTTCCTCTGCGGCTGTCCCACCACCCCTCTTCCTCCCCTTCTTCCTCCTCCTCCTCCTCCTCCTCCTCTTCCTCATGGGCACCTGGCATCTGAACTTTGACCCATCCGTCGGTGGCGAGGCCATGTTTCTTCTGGTGGCGTTTGTAGTTGTCCCAGTGTCCCGTGGTGTAGCCACACTCCTGGCATTTGTAGGGCTTCTCGCCCGTGTGTCTCAGCATGTGTCTCTTCAGGTTCATGCTCTGGTTACAGCTGTAGCTGCACGCCTCGCACTGGAACGGCTTGGCGCCCGAGTGGACCCGCTGGTGCCGTTTTAAGTTAGCCAGGTTGCCACAGGCGTAGTCACACAGGTGGCACTTGTACGGCTTCTCGCCCGTGTGGACTCTGTGGTGGCGTTTCAGGTTGTCGAAGTGGGCGGAGGCATAGTCGCACTGAGGGCACTTGTAGGGCTTCTCGCCGCTGTGTGTCTTCATGTGTCGCGCCAGGTGGTTGGGGTAGTGGGTGAGGAAGGGACAGGCGCTGCAGGTGTAGACCTTATCCCCGCGCTCCCCGGGGCTGTTGGGCCCGGATGAGTCCTTGTTCAGCATGTCCAGGGTGCACTTGGCACAGATCTGGGTGGTGGAGCCGTCCTCGTCCTCCAGGGGGATACCACAGAGACGACAGGTGAAAAGGAACGGGAACGGAGGGAGAGAGTCCCTGTGTGTGTCCTCTGACTTCGCTCCCACCACAGCTCCGACCCTAGCCCCGGTCAAAGACCCTCCTAAACCCCCAGTCCTACTCCCAGACTCAGCCCTAGCCCCAGTCATAGACCCGGTCAAAGACCCTCCTAAAGCCCCCAGTCCTTCTCCCAGAATCAGCCCTAGCCCCAGTCATAGACCCGGTCAAAGACCCTCCTAAACCCCCAGTCCTACTCCCAGACTCAGCCCTAGCCCCAGTCATAGACCCAGTCCCAGGTCCACAGCCAGGCGCCTCCAGAAGTCTTGAGGGCTGGTGCTCAGGGAGCTCTGGCGGTGGTGGTACCGTCAGTCCATCACAGCATGGCAAGTAGTCTCTGCTATGGTCTCCTACGTGGAGGTTCTGGTCGGGCTTTAGGGCTTCTGGAAAGAGATCAGACGTGGGAGAAACAAGTTCAGCTGAAAAAAAAAAACTAGAATTATTGCCTAAATATATAAATACATACACAATATAATTTTAGGAAAATATACAAGAACACATCTTTAAAACTATTCAAAATGGTCTAACTTGAGAAATAGTCCAGGCCTTAAATCTTTAGTTCACATTTTTCATGGAAAGACTTTGGACATTACCTTCAGTTGAAGCACTAGGCTCATCCTCCCAGTGCCTCTTTACACCACACCCACCCGCAGAGGGACCAATAGGAGGTCCACTAGCAGGTCTGACTGCTTCCTGTCCCGCCACATGCATCCTCTGATGCCTCTTCAGGTTGCCTAGGGAACTGCAGGCGAAGGAGCAGGAGTCACACCTGTACGGTTTCTCCCCAGTGTGAATCCTCAGGTGTCTCTGCAGGTTGACCAGCTGGGCTGAGGCGTAGGTACACAGGGGGCAGTGGTACGGCTTCTCCCCGTTGTGAGTCTTCATGTGCCTCTTGACGTGGTTGGCGTAACGGGAGGAGAACCCACACAGCTGGCAGGAGTAGAGCTTGGAGGACGGACCGTCGTCACCCATCGTGGAGTTATCGTCCGTTCCATCAGCGCCGTCTATCCCGCCTCCGTCTCCTTCCTCGCCATCGTCCGCCTGTGATCGCGAACCGTAGCGAAAGCCGCCGAACGCGGCGCTGAAGTCCCCACTTCCTCCCTTGCAGCAACGGTGACAGTAGGGTCCCACTAGGTCCTGGCCACAGCCCCGGCAGGACAGGTAGGGGGGAAAGGGGGGCTGGTGGTCGGGCTGGGGGGTGGGGCCCTCCTCCTGGTCACCCTGGCTCTCCGTGGCGGTGCGGGTGGCGGTGGCGGTACGAGGGTCTCGGTCGTCTGCGTCACTCTCCATACTGAGACAACTCTCCTCATCACCCAGAGAGTACACAGAGAAGCCGATCTCAGCCGCTACGGAGTCTACAGGGGAGACAGAAAACAGCAGTATGAGGAATAGACCAAACAATAGGAACACCTTCCTAATATTGAGTTGCATCTCCCTCAATTCGTCGGGGCATGGACTCTACAAGCTGTCGAAAGGGTTCCACAGGGATGCTGGGCCCATGTTGACTCCAATGGTTCTTACAGTTGTGTCAAGTTGGCTGGATGTCCTTTGGGTGGTGGACCATCATTGATACACACGGCAAACTATTGAGCGTGAAAAACACAGCAGAGTTGCAGTTCTTGACACTAACCGGTGCGCCGCCTGGCACCTACTACCATACCCCGTTCAAAGGCACTTAAATCTTTTGTCTTGCCCATTCACCCTCTGAATGGTACACGTACACAATCCATGTCTCAACTGACTCTAGGCTTAAAAATCCTTCTTTAACCCCGTCTCCTCCCCTTCATCTACACTGATTGAAGTGGATTTAATAAGTGACATCAATAAGGGATCATAGCTTTCACCTGGATTCACTTGGTCAGTCTATGTCATGGAAAGAGCAGGTGTTCTTAATGTTTTGTCCAGTCTGTGTAGATTCACAGGGTTTAAGACAACATCATAAGACATGTTACACAGAGAAGCCAATGACTGCCCATACTGAGTCTTCAGCAGGGGGAAAGGCACAAAAACATTGAGGATAAATCTTTACAGTCTTTACGGGGTTAAAATACACTATGATAAGACACAGGGTTAAAGACAATCAATCGATCACATTTATTTATAAAGGGTTATAGACACCATGATAAGACACAGGGTTATAGACACCATGATAAGACACATGGTTAAGGACAGGGTTAAAGACACCATGATAAGACACAGGGTTAAAGACACCATGATAAGACATGGTTATAGACACCATGATAAGACACAGGGTTATAGACACCATGATAAGACACATGGTTAAGGACAGGGTTAAAGACACCATGATAAGACACAGGGTTAAAGACACCATGATAAGACATGGTTATAGACACCATGATAAGACACAGGGTTATAGACACCATGATAAGACACAGGGTTATAGACACCATGATAAGACACAGGGTTAAAGACACCATGATAAGACACAGGGTTAAAGACACCATGATAAGACACAGGGTTAAAGACACCATGATAAGACACAGGGTTAAAGACACCATGATAAGACACAGGGTTAAAGACAGGGTTAAAGACAGGGTTAAAGACACCATGATAAGACACCTCTACCTGTTCTACTGCAGGGGGACAAACAATAAGAATTGTTATTGTTTAGAACAATATTCAAATATCTTTGGGAGGCAGTAGAATAAAAAAACCATTCAAAAAAAAAAAATGGTTTGTGCAAAAACAAGCTCACATCAAATCAGCCACTGACATCACAGTAGAAATAGAACTGTATTCTACATGCTCCTACGTCATTTAAAATGACAGTGGAAATGCAATCATCTTTACAACGTTTGCTAAATTATATAATATTGATATCTTTAGGCCTTATGAAAAATGTGTTCAAACTCGGTTCATAGCAGTTTGTCAGATTTAAAACTACATTTGTGGAAAAGGGTATACTAATGTGGAATAAACACTACCGTTCAAAAGTTTGAGGTCACTTAGAAATGTCCTTGTTTTTGAAAGAAAAGCAATTTTTTTGTCCATTAAAATAACATCAAATTGATCAGAAATACAGTGTAGACATTGTTAATGTTGTAAATGGCTATTGTAGCTGGAAACGGCTGATTTTTTATGGAATATCTACATAGGCGTACAGAGGCTCATTATCAGCGACCATCAGTCCTGTGATCCAATGGCACGTTGTGTTTGCTAATCCAAGTTTTTATTTTAATTTTTTAAGGCTAATTGATAATTAGAAAACCCTTTTGCAATTATGTTAGCACAGCTGAAAACTGTTGTGCTGATTAAATAAGCAATAAAACTGGCCTTCTTGAGACTAGTTGAGTATCTGGAGAATCAGCAATTGTGGGTTCGATTACAGGCTCAAAATGGCCAGAAACAAAGAACTTTCTTCTGAAACTCATCAGTCTATTCTTGTTCTGAGAAATGAAGGCTATTCCATGCGAGAAATTGCCAAGAAACTGAATATCTCGTATAGCGCTGTGTACTACTCCCTTCACAGAACAGCGCAAACTGGCTCTAACCAGAATAGAAAGAGGAGTGGGAGGCCCCGGTGCACAACTGAGCAAGAGGACAAATACATTAGTGTCTAGTTTGAGAAACAGATGCCTCACAGGTCCTCAACTGGCAGCTTCATTAAATAGTACCCGCAAAACACCAGTCTCAACGTCAACAGTGAAGAGGCGACTCCGGGATGTTGACCTTCTAGGCAGAGTTACAAAGAAGAAGCCATATCTCAGACTGGCCAATAAAAATAAAAGATTAAGATGGGCAAAAAAACACAGACACTGGACTTCTTTGCAACTCTGCCTAGAAGGTCAGCATCCCGGAGTCGCCTCTTCACTTTTGACGTTGAGACTTGTTTTGCGGGTACTATTTAATGAAGCTGCCAGTTGAGGACCTGTGAGGCGTCTGTTTCTCAAACTAGACACTAATGTATTTGTCCTCTTGCTCAGTTGTGCACCGGGGCCTCCCACTCCTCTTTCTATTCTGGTTAGAGCCACCGGGAAAGGGAGGGGGGTGTCAAAAACTATACACAAAAGGGAATGGTCAGAATATCCCCTCCGGTAGGCAAACCCAGGACCTTCAAATCCCAGGTGCGCTACGAACCCTGTTCCAGATATGTAAAATTGACACTATTTAAAATGTACAGTCTGGTGATGACAGCACACGTTTTCGCTCCAAAATGTTTGTTAATTCACTCAGTACTAATTGAACATTTAATTATCTTGCTTGGTAAAATATTTGTCTATAACAGTTGATGTGTTGAAAACTGTTTCATTTTATCACATAGCTAACCAAGTTAGCAAGCATGGCATTTTCTTTTGACTACGCACAGGTCCAGCAAGCAAGGAATGATTGTTTATGATGATGTTGTTGTTGTTGTTGTTGAACACACGCACCCCTGCTATTTGTTTACTTGTTGATGGCGAATTCAGGTTTCCGGGAACACATTGAAAATTAACTTGGCACTGTGTTGATCAGTCAGAGCACATTTGGATTATAATGACAAGAAGAACATGTCATTGAGAGGGGAGGAACTGCGTACTGAACTAATGCATTAGGTAAGGGCTAGAATTTGCACTGGATTTTCTAACAGCAACATTCTGGTGTGTGCATGTATTATACATTAGCAGCATGGCAGTTTTCCCAGAGCTGGTATGTATATATATATATAGTTGAAGTCAGAAGTTTACATACACCTTAGCCAAATACATTTAAACTCCTGACATTTAATCCTAGTAAACATTCCCTGTCTTAGGTCAGTTAGGATCACCACTTTATTTTAAGAATGTGAAATGTCAGAATAATAGTAGAGATAATGATTTATTTCAGCTTTTATTTATTTCATCACATTCCCAGTGGGTCAGAAGTTAACATACACTCAATTAGTATTTAGTAGCATTGCCTTTAAATTGTTTAACTTGGGTCAATTGTTTCGGGTAGCCTTCCACAAGCTTCCCACAATAAGTTGGGTGAATTTTGGCCCATTCCTCCTGACAGAGCTGGTGTAACTGAGTCAGGTTTGTAGGCCTCCTTGCTCGCACACGTTTTTCAGTTCTGCCCACACATTTTCCATAGGATTGAGGTCAGGGCTTTGTGATGGCCACTCCAACACCTTGACTTTGTTGTCCTTAAGCCATTTTTCCACAACTTTGGAAGTATGCTTGGGGTCATTGTCCATTTGGAAGACCCATTTGCGAACAAGCTTTAACTTCCTGACTGATGTTTTGAGATGTTGCTTCAATATATCCACATAATTTTCCTTCCTCATGATCCCATCTATTTTGTGAAGTGCACCAGTCCCTCCTGCAGCAAAGCATCCCCAAAAATATGATCTTTGTCCCCATGTGCAGTTGCAAACCGTAGTTTGGCATTTTATGGCGGTTTTGGAGCAGTGGCTTCTTCCTTGCTGAGCGGCCTTTGAGGTTATGTCGATATAGGACTCATTTTATTGTGGATATAGTTACTTTTGTTTCCTCCAGCATCTTCACAAGGTCGTTTGCTGTTGTTCTGGGATTGATTTGCACTTTTCGCACCAAAGTACATTCATCTCTAGGAGACAGAATGCGTCTCCTTCCTGAGCGGTATGACGGCTGCGTGGTCCCATGGTGTTTATACTTGCGTACTATTGTTTGTACAGATGAACGTGGTACCTTCAGGCGTTTGGAAATTGCTCCCAAAGATGAACCAGACTTGTGGAGGTCTACAATTATTTTTCTGAGGTCTTGGCTGATTTCATTTGATTTTCCCATGATGTCAAGCAAAGAGGCACTGAGTTTGAAGGTAGGCCTTGAAATACATCCACAGGTACACCTCCAATTGACTCAAATGATGTCAATTAGCCTATCAGAAGCTTCTAAAGCCATGACATCATTTTCTGGAATTTTCCAAGCTGTTTAAAGGCACAGTCAACTTAGTGTATATAAACTTCTGACCCACTGGAATTGTGATACAGTGAATTATAAGTGAAATAATGTCTGTAAACAATTGTTGGAAAAATTACTTGTGTCATAAACTATAGTTTGTTAACAAGAAATGTGTGGAGTGGTTGAAAAACGAGTTTTAATGACTCCAACCTAAGTGTATGTAAACTTCAACTGTAATAGCAGCCAAGGAGGTTCGCTAACTTATGTTTGTGCTCTGATGACTTAAGCCAAATAAAAAACCTTCCATAGCTAAATATACCTAGCTAGCTAGCTACCTTTTGCTTCTCATCCAACTGGCATTAGCTAGCTAGATACAGCTGCTAGCCTTCTCCTAGCTAGCTGCTCCTGTTGCACAGCAACTGAACTGCACCGGTTTTAGAACTCCGATTCCGCTGAAAAGATGTGAGCATTGTCAGAAATGCTACAAAAAAGGTAGCACATCATTGGTTTTTATTGGCCAGAAATGTGCACGTGAGAGCGGTAAATAGTGAATTTAATCAAATCTGTTGCACCTACAAACTTACTCAGTCCAAATGGATCTAAGTCTAATGGTTACCTTACGGACGACGTAGCCTTGTTTTAATTCGACGTCTAGAATTTGAGCTAGATTCTGACAAAAAAAATGGTCTGATCAAATCAAAATCAAGCTTTATTTAGACATGGAATGCAACAACGTGTTTCACAGGGGAAAAAAAACAAATAAACTGAAATACTTACTACACAACAAACATAAAATACAAAAGAATAACAATAAAATGAAACTATATGAAATTATGCTAATGCTAACAACCCTGTCAGAAATGATGACCCCTAATGCTAACAACCCTGTCAGAAATGATGACCCCTAATGCTAACAACCCTGTCAGAAATGATGCTAATGCTAACAACCCTGTCAGAAATGATGACCCCTAATGCTAACAACCCTGTCAGAAATGATGCTAATGCTAACAACCCTGTCAGAAATTATCCTAATGCTAACAACCCTGTCAGAAATGATGCTAATGCTAACAACCCTGTCAGAAATCAAGTTGATTTGCCAACTGTCATCGACATTTGTGTCATATTGGCTTAGATTTACAGTATGATGGTAGGGCAATTTGAATTTAACATTGAGCTTCAACCAATGCATACCGGTTGGCACAACTATAATAAAGCACCACATTAGAAGTGCTAATCTAATCTAATTTTACTCAGATCTTAAAAAGGCAAAACTGATTCTAGGTCAGCAGCACTCTCCTCAGAGACACTTTATAAATTCGGGCCCAGGTCTCCCTCACCAGAGAGATTTTAGCTAATTGGTGACTAACCTGGCCAAATGAAGCTTTAATAAATGAAGTACCAACCTGAGTACTTGTCGTCCAGACCTAGGATCTTGTCATGGTCGGAGTCACCAAACTCAAGGTCGTGTCCCAGAAGGAAATCTGCCTCCAAGGTCAGGATTCCTGGAGCTCCAATGGTTACTACACCATCTTCAGAATCCACTGCAACACAGAGCAACAATTAGATCTAGCATTACATTATCGATAACTAAACTGAACAAAAATATAAATGCAACGTGAAGTGTTGTTCCCATGTTTCATGAGCTGAAAAGATCCCAGAAAATTCCCACATGTACAAAAAGCATATTTCTCTCAAATTTTGTGCACAAATTTGTTTACATCCCTGTTAGTGAGCATTTCTCCTTTGCCAAGATTATCCATCCACCTGACAGGTGTGGCATATCAAGAAGCTGATTAAACAGCATGATCATTACACTGGTGCACCTTGTGCTGGGGACAATAAAAGGCCACGCTAAAATGTGCAGTTTTGTCACACAACACAATACCACAGATGTCTCAAGTTTTGAGGGAGTGTGCAATTGGCATGCTGACTGCAGGAATGTCCACCAGAGCTGTTGCCAGAGAATTTAATGTGTATTTCTCTACGATAAGCCGCCTCCAACATCGTTTTAGAGAATTTAGCAGTACATCCAACTGGCCTCACAACCACAGACCATGTGTATGGCGTTGTGTGGGCAAGCAGTTTGCTGATGTCAATGTTGGTAACAGAGTGCCCCTTGGTGGTGGTGGGGTTATGGTATGGGCAGGCATAAGCTACGGACAACGAACACAATTGCATTTTATCGATGGCAATTTCAATGCACAGAGATACCGCGATGAGATCCTGAGGCCCATTGTTGTGCCATTCATCTGCCGCCATCACCTCATGTTTCAGCATGTTAATGCACGGCCCCAGGTTGCAAGGATCTGTATACAATTTCTGGAAGCTGAAAATGTCCCAGTTCTTCCATGGCCTGCATACTCACCAGACATGTCACCCATTGAGCATGTTTGGGATGCTCTGGATCGACAGCGTGTTCCAGCTCCTGCCAATATCCAGCAACTTCACACAGCTATTGAAGAAGAGTGGGACAACATTCTACAGGCCACAATCAACAGCCTGATCAACTCTATGCGAAGGTGATGTGTCGCGCTGTATGAGGCAAATGGTGCTCACCAGATACTGACTGGTTTTCTGATCCACGCCCCTAACTTTTTAAAAAGGTACACTATATATACACACAAAAGTATGTGGACACCCCTTCAAATTAGTGGATTCGGCTATTTCAGCCACACCCGTTGCTGACAGGTCAGTTCATCAAATTACTGCCCTGCTAGAGCTGCCAGGGTCAACTGCAAGTGCTGTTATTGTGAAGTGGAAATGTCTAGGAGCAACAACGGCTCAGCAGCGAAGTGGTAGGCCACACAAGCTCCCAGAACGGGACCGCTGAGTGCTGAAGCGCGTAAAAATCGTCTGTCTTCACTACCGAGTTCCAACTGCCTCTGGAAAGCAACGTCAGCATAAGAACTGTTCGTCGGGAACTTCATGAAATGGCTTTCCATGGCCATCGGCTGGAGTGGTGTAAAGCTCACCGCCATTGGACTCTGGAGCAGTGGAAACGCGTTCTCTGGAGTGATGAATCACGCTTCACCATCTGGCAGTCCGACGGACAAATCTGGGTTTGGCGGATGCCAGGAGAACGCTACCTGTCCAAATGCATAGTGCTAACTGTAAAGTTTGGTGGATGAGTAATAATGGTCTGGGGATGGTTTTCATGGTTCAGGCTAGGCCCCTTAACGTTACAGTATACAATTACTTTCTAGACGATTCTGTGCTTCCAACTGTGGCAACAGTTTGGGGAAGGCCCTTTCCTGTTTTAGCATGACAATGCCCCCGTGCACAAAGCGAGATCCATACAGAAATGGTTTGTTGATCGGTGTGGAAGAACTTGACTGGCCTGCACAGAGCCCTGACCTCAACCCCATCGAACACCTTTGGGATGAATTCGAACGCCGACTGCTAGCCAGGCCCGCAGCAATGTTCCAACATCTAGTGGAAAGCCTTCCCAGAAGAGGGGAGGCTGTTATAGCAGCAAAGGGGGGGGACCAACTCCATATTAATGCCCATGATTTTGGAATGAGATGTTTGACGAGCATTCTTACATGGGGATTCCTCTTGTCCAGATGGGATAGGGCAGTGTGCAGTGCAATGGCGATTGCATCGTCTGTGGATCTTTTGTGGCAGTATGCAAATTGAAGTGGGTCTAGGGTGTCAGGTAAGGTAGAGGTGATATGATCCTTAACTTGACGTGTTAGAAAGCTATTTAATATTAAATCAAGCCGTGTTTTGTTAGGCTTAATGACAGAAATTGGAACAGCTATGAATATCCAGTAGTCAAAGACACCAGCTGCCTGTGATTTTCAGTCTGCCACAGAGGCCTTCAGAGTTCCCGAGTGGCGCAGCGGTCTAAGGCACTGCATCTCAGCCGTCTAAGGCACTGCATCTCAGTGCTTGAGGCGTCACTACAGACCCCCCCACTGGTTAGATTCCAGGCTGTATCACAATCCGGCCGTGATTGGGAGTCCCATAGAGCGGTGCACATTTGGCCCAGCGTCGTCCGGGTTTGTCCGGTGTAAGCCGTCATTGTAAATAAGAATTTGTTCTTAACTGACTTGCTAAGTAAAAAAATAAAAATAAAGAGTTAACACTCTGCTGCCCCCTAGTGGATAGTGTGATGCATGACAGTACATGAATGGATATGCCCCAAATGGCACCCTATTCCCAAGGCAAGCAGATTCAGCTGCGGGACGATTTTTATCGGGGCATAATTCTAATAATGTGCACACTGCAGACTGACCACAACTAAACTCCAAAATGAGATTGTATTTCCAAAATAACAATCATTCCCTAGCTTGATTATATTGAGACACGATCACGTATTTGTATTAGTGAACAGATTTCCTACATTAAATCACCAGGAATTCAGCTACAAATGTGTTTTGAGTTAATTTTTTAAAAACTAAAATCCAACCCTTGACCTATACACAGAGTGTACAAAACATTAAGAACACCTTCCTAATCTTGAGTTGCACCCTCTTTTGCCCTCAGAACAGCCTCAATTCATCAGGGCATGGACTCTACAAGGTGTCGAAAGCGTTCGACAGGGATGCTGGCCCATGTTGACTCCAATGCTTCCCACAGTTGTGTCAAATTGGCTGGATGTCCTTTGGGTGGTGGCCCATTCTTTGATACAGACGGGAAACTGTTGAGCGTGAAAAACCCAGCAGCGTTGCAGTTCTTGGCACACTCAAACTGGTGCGCCTGGCACCTACTACCATACCCCGTTCAAAGGCACTTAAATCTTCTGTCTTGCCCATTCCCCACCTGAATGGCACAAATACACAATCCATGTCTCAAAGCTTAAAATCTTTCTTTAACCCGTCTCCTCCCCTTCATCTAGACTGATTGAAGTGGATTTAACAAGTGACATCAATAAGGGATCATAGCGTTCAACTGGATTTACCTGGTCAGTCTGTCGCGGTAAGAGCAGGTATTCTTAATGTTTTGTCCACTACTTCTGACCAGAGACCATATAGGGAACCGGGTGCCATTCGGGGCGTATCTGTAGGCTACAGTATGTGTGGGTTTCCTTCTCTTGCTTTTCACAGGGGTTAAAGCAACAAACAAAAATCCCATGACTAAAACTTTAAATCGATTGTCTGGCACCAAGTTAACCTCCCCTTTCATTTGAGAAAGTCATGAAGCATCATGCTTTTAGGGAAAGAGGATCATATTGTACATGTATTAAACTGCAAGTTTGGCCAATTCCAGTCCCCCTTGTTTAAGGGGTCCGGCCTCAGTTCTGGTGACTTTTTAAAGAAAAGGACATTCTACCATCAAAAATATAATTTCCACCTCCAGAAATGAGCCCAATACGTAGCCTACCATCATGTCAGATAGTGAAATGTTTTATACATTTTTACCTGACCAAAGTATTAGATGGCTGCAAAACAAGTATTACGTGCTGAACAAACTAGCGTGGACCAGAATGAGGCGCTCTCCTCATTATATTGTTCCTGCACTGAGGACTTCCCATCTTCACATAACGTTGTGATAATGTATCTGTAGATAATCACAGCATGTTGTGATAATGTATCTGTAGATAATCACAGCATGTTGTGATAATGTCTCTGCAGATAATCACAGCATGTTGTTATAATGTATCTGTAGATTATCTAAACCATGATTGAAACTCTGGCAGTTGAAGGAGTAAAGAAATCAGATGGTAGAAATGGACAACTGGGACCCCACTCTTTAACAAAGGCCAAAACTGCTTTCAAAAGTGTTTTCCCGCAATTGCATTAAGAATAGTTGTGCATTGACTCCTTGTCAGAATAAGTTTCCCTCCCTGTCTTAACTTGAATGCACCTCGGGGTGAATATTTATCTCACATGACCACGTAAAAATGTATGCACACGACTGTAAGTCGCTTTGGATAAAAGCGTCTGCTAAATGGCATATTATTATTATTATTATTATTATTATTATTATTATTACATAGACGACACAACAACAAGCCGACTAGGTAAACTATTCTACTCTGGGTTTGTCTGATTTTGTTTTGATAACAACATTAGTAGCACTGGAAAGTTGCCTCCTGACCTGCGTAAAGTAGAGGGTTGAATGACTGCAACACACCGCTGCCACGCATTAGACTGTTTAAAGAGATACTTCAGGATTCCCCAGGTCGAAGGAATTGTCCGTAGAGCTCCGAGACAGAATTGTGTCGAGGTACAGATCTGGGGAAGGATAGCAAACAATTTCTGCAGCATTGAAGGTCCCCAAGAACACAGTGGCCTCCATCATTCTTAAATGGAAGAAGTGTGGAACCACCAAGACTCTTCCTAGAGCTGGCCGCCCGGCCAAATTGAGCAATTGGGGAAGGGCCTTTGTCAGGGAGGTGACCAAGAACCCGATGGTCACTCTGACAGAGCTCTAGTTCCTCTGTGAAGATGGGAGAACCTTCCAGAAGGACAACCATCTCTGCAGCACTCCACCAATCAGGCCTTTATGGTAGAGTGGCCAGACGGAAGCCACTCCTCAGTAAAAGTCACATGACAGCCCGCTTGGAGTTTGCCAAAAGGCACCTAAAGGACTCTCAGACCATGAGAAACAATAATATCTGGTCTGATGAAACCAAGATGGAACTCTTTGGCCTGAATGCCAAGCGTCACATCTGGAGGAAACCTGGCACCATCCCTACGGTGAAGCATGGTGGTGGCAGCATCATGCTGCGGGGATGTTTTTCTGCGGCAGGGACTGGGAGACTAGTCAGGATCAAGGCAAAGATGAACAGAGGAAAGTACAGAGAGATCCTTGATGAAAACCTGCTCCAGAGCGCTCAGGACCTCAGACTGGGGTGAAGGTTCACCTTCCAACAGGACAACGACCGTAACCACACAGCCAAGACAACGCAGGAGTGGCTTTGGGACAAGTGTCTGAATGTCCTTGAGTGGCCCAGCCAGAGCCCGGACTTGAACCCAATCTAACATCTCTGGAGGGAAATGAAAATACACTGCTCAAAAAAATTAAGGGAACACTAAAATAACACATCCTAGATCTGAATGAATGAAATAATCTTATTAAATACTTTTTTCTTTACATAGTTGAATGTGCTGACAACAAAATCACACAAAAATTATCAATGGAAATCAAATTTATCAACCCATGGAGGTCTGGATTTGGAGTCACCCTCAAAATTAAAAGTGGAAAACCACACTACAGGCTGATCCAACTTTGATGTAATGTCCTTAAAACAAGTCAAAATGAGGCTCAGTAGTGCGTGTGGCCTCCACGTGCCTGTATGACCTCCCTACAATGCCTGGGCATGCTCCTGATGAGGTGGCGGATGGTCTCCTGAGGGATCTCCTCCCAGACCTGGACTAAAGCATCCGCCAACTCCTGGACAGTCTGTGGTGCAACGTGGCGTTGGTGGATGGAGCGAGACATGATGTCCCAGATGTGCTCAATTGGATTCAGGTCTGGGGAATGGGCGGGCCAGTCCATAGCATCAATGCCTTCCTCTTGCAGGAACTGCTGACACACTCCAGCCACGAGGTCTAGCATTGTCTTGCATTAGGAGGAACCCAGGGCCAACCGCACCAGCATATGGTCTCACAAGGGGTCTGAGGATCTCATCTCGGTACCTAATGGCAGTCAGGCTACCTCTGGCGAGCACATGGAGGGCTGTGCGGCCCCCCAAAGAAATGCCACCCCACACCATGACTGACCCACCGCCAAACCGGTCATGCTGGAGGATGTTGCAGGCAGCAGAACGTTCTCAACGGCGTCTCCAGACTCTGTCACGTCTGTCACGTGCTCAGTGTGAACCTGCTTTCATCTGTGAAGAGCACAGGGCGCCAGTGGCGAATTTGCCAATCTTGGTGTTCTCTGGCAAATACCAAACGTCCTGCACGGTATTGGGCTGTAAGCACAACCCCCACCTGTGGACGTCGGGCCCTCATACCACCCTCATGGAGTCTGTTTCTGACCGTTTGAACAGACACATGCACATTTGTGGCCTGCTGGAGGTCATTTTGCAGTGCTCTGGCAGTGCTCCTCCTGCTCCTCCTTGCACAAAGGCGGAGGTAGCAGTCCTGCTGCTGGGTTGTTGCCCTCCTACGGCCTCCTCCACATCTCCTGATGTACTGGCCTGTCTCCTGGTAGCGCCTCCATGCTCTGGACACTACGCTGACAGACACAGCAAACCTTCTTGCCACAGCTCGCATTGATGTGCCATCCTGGATGAGCTGCAATACCTGAGCCACTTGTGTGGGTTGTAGACTCCGTCTCATGCTACCACTAGAGTGAAAGCACCGCCAGCATTCAAAAGTGACCAAAACATCAGCCAGGAAGCATAGGAACTGAGAAGTGGTCTGTGGTCACCATCTGCAGAACCACTTCTTTATTGGGGGTGTCTTGCTAATTGCCTATAATTTCCACCTGTTGTCTATTCCATTTGCACAACAGCATGTGAAATGTATTGTCAATCAGTGTTGCTTCCTAAGTGGACAGTTTGATTTCACAGAACTGTGACTGACTTGGAGTTACATTGTGTTGTTTAAGTGTTCCCTTTATTTTTTTGAGCAGTGTATATCACAACAATTTTATAGGGGCCACTTTAGAGTCGTTAATTAACCATTATTTTACCAGGTATATAGGACCCGGGGGTAGAGTTGAAGGGGAGAGAAGAGAAGGATGTGCCTATTTGAAAGCTATGAAATGCAATTTAGATTCTCCCTGTGTCTATGACGTTATCAGAAAAGCACGGCATTGATTTTCACTGCTACGCAGACGATACACAACTTTACATTTATGTCACCAGAGAATTTTAGATCCACGGATAAATTAGACTGTATTAGTGATTTAAATACTTGGATGGCTCAGAACTTCCTCCAGCTAAATCAAGACAAGACCGAGGTACTTATTGTTGGAGCCAAAGCACAGAGAGAGAATCTGGACGCACATTTTAATTCACGGCAATAAAGATAAAACACCAGGTAAAAAAACCCAGGTGTTATTTTAGATTCTGAACTCAATTTTGAATCAAACATTAGAAATGTCACCAACATAGCTTTTTACCACCTGAGGAACATTGCCAAGGTGGGGCCGTTTCTCTCTCAGGCTGATACAGAGAGACTCATCCATGCTTTTATTACAAGCAGGCTTGACTACTGTAATGCTCTCCTGTCTGGTCTACCCAAGAAAGCCATTGGTCAACTGCAAAACATACAGAATGCTGCAGCATGGGTACTGACCAAGACCAGACGGAGAGCACACATTACACCGGTTTATAAGGTCTCTGCACTGGGCTGCCTGTGAGTTTTAGAATTAATTTTAAGATTCTTCTATTGGTTTTTAAATCCACGATTGTGCACCCCAATATATATGTCAAACATGCTTTTAAGTGATGTACCCAGTAGGTCCCTCAGGTCCTCTGGCACTGACCTTTTAACTAGCCCAAAGCCTAGGACCAAGAGGCATGGAGAGGCAGCCTTTAGTTGCTATGCCCCCAGCCTCTGGAATAGCCTGCCAGAGAACCTGAGGGGGGCTGAATCTGTGGACATTTTTAAAAGAGATCTTAAAAACACACCTTTTTAGCTTTGCTTTTCCTTAAGGTGTTTTTTAGTCGTTCAGTTTTTTAAAAATATTCTTTAGTTTTTTTATCCTCTTATGTTTATTGTGAAGTAAATATTTCAGTTTTTTGTTTTTGTTGTTTTTCTTCCTGTGAAGCACATTGTGTTGCATTCCATGTCTGAAATGTGCTGTATAAATAAAGCTTGGTTTGATGACATAGCCTGTACAAGTCATTTCCTGTAGGCTATCTGATCACATTCAAGTCATTTCCTGCATCTTACTATATGCCTTATGGTTTCTTATAATTTTTGGACCTCATCTGTTCCTCAAAGATTATCACGTGAAAACAATTGCTTAAGCATTGCCAGGTTCTCCAGTGAAATGCCTATTGGGGTAGAATGGTTGTATCACATACAGTATGTCCATTTCTATGGCTCTATATAAACGTAAAGATCCAACCTCTCAGAGTAGGTTCACCATGTTGGATAACATTACCAAATTAGTTTACACCCTACAAACATTCCAGTAAACTAATTATGTTGTGAATGAATGCTGTTGTTCCTGTATTTCAAAATGTGACTATCAGTTAGTCTGTGTACACAGACAGGATGCGTTTTAAGACTAGAGTACAAAGATTAACAATGGCATTCTAAAGCATGTTGCCCTGTACAGAATGGAGCAATCGTCACTGTTCTATACAGGGCCAATTCATATAACAGTTGGCCTGAAATCTAGACCTATTTTGTTCTAACATTCCACTTCTTGTACTCTTTGTCATATGCCAAACATGATCTATGTTTAGAATGATACATAGCACAAACAGACCGGTACCCAGGCTATATAACAGTAGCCAACAACAGTTATAAGAACGGACAGTTTGAGCCCTTACACTTGACAGATTGAGGATTCTGTTGTTTTCTTCTTGGCATCTTCCAGTCAGCCTCTCTCTTTTGTCACCTCTTCTGGAAGACCTCAGGAACTATCAGCTCATGCTGCTATCCAGGAAACTCGGCTTCTCCAGTAGTTCTATACACAGATAAAAAAATAAATAAAGATCAATCAGATATGCATTTTCAAGCAATTCAGGCATAATTGGCCCTAGTTACATCTCTACGTAGCTCTGGTATAGACACAGCTAACTCGCAACTGTGTGACACGGACCTAGCTAACAGCTGTACATCCATGATTAAAAATGCCCCATTAAAATGATAGCTAACACTAGCTAGCCAAATGGCTTGCTGAGTGAAGGGATGCAGTCAGATCAAATCGCTCTGTCATGTGGGTGTTGTTGCAGCTTGCTAACTTGCTTCCGGCCCTTAATGATCCTTTGTAGACAGCTAACTATCGAATTATGTTAACTATCTAGCTAATGATTTTAGCATCAATGACTACACGTACCAGGCTAATTTGACTGAAAGGTCAAAAAAAGAGCAACCTAGGAAAGATATTAGCTAACTAACTACTGTTACAAATTTAAGTGCGGTTTGTTATAGAAAGTATACTTGCTAGTTAATGATAGGATGTCGGCAACGGTTAACATCAGTAACGTTAGCTAGCTAGCTATAGAAAAAAACAAGTATGTGCGAAATTAGCCGATTAGTTATCAAGCTAACTTACCTAAATATCATAAATAAACCTCTCGATTGTAGCCGTTTTCATCCAGTAACTTAACGCACCATGTAACCTTGCATAAACGAGGTCTAGATATCCGCCATTTTTTTATGTGTAGCTGGACAAAGAAAGCAATTAATGGTGTTTTTCATAACTTAATTGATTTTTGGATTTCCATTGTATACATTCTCTTCCGCTGTTATACGTGTTTCCGCTTCCTAAATACATTTCCGGTCGACTGTTTCATGGTACTTGTCGTTTTTTTTTTTGAGCGCATTTCTGTTAATAATAATTTCATCCATTTGTGGCTAAATCCATTAACACACATGTTTTCTTGGCTTACTCTATTTCTGAGATCTGCAAATAGCCTTTGAACTATTATTTATTATATTATTATATTTGAAGAAGAAGAAGACATTATACTTTATTTTATTGGTAAACATTCTTATTTAATCTCTTAAAGGGAAATTTCACCGCTGCTCTTTCCCTGTATTGGGCCATTAATATGTCAATATTGTGTTGTACAAAATCACGAATTTCCTCACTACGAGCAAATACGAGCAAATACGAGCGTTTCTGCATCGCACCTGTAGAAACGGCCATCTAAATTTCCTGGTTGTAAGCAAACCACAATATCCAGAATTCATATCGATTTCAGGATGTAGCTAGTATCGCCTGTCGAGTGGACCCCCGTAATAATAAGGTATTCACAAATTGGGGAAAACCAACATTCTTTCCTATTGACCCCCATTGTAAAAGAGGAAACTTCGTTGTCGATGTTTTGTTAAACAGAAAATAAAATAAAAACATGCCGAAATGCTGCTGTGTTGTTCAATTTACATGTAGCCTGGTCAAAAATCAGCTAAGACATTTAATTTAGTACAGTCCGTTTAATTCCATTCACTACTTGTAGCTGTATAGTCCGTTTTGTTTGTGTTGTTCGTCTTGGCTAGATGAAATGTTCTGGTCGGTAGCTAAGGGAAGCCCTACGAGTGGTGAGAACGCTAGGAGCAGGCAATGTTGAAAAGTAATCTGTAGACATGTTGTACTTTTCTTTAAAATGTAGATTTGCAATTGACTAAAACAAGCAGACAACAACAAAAGTGTGTTTGAAAAAGGTATAGTTTTTTGCTGTGAGCCAATGGGGTAACCTAGGTAACCATAGGTTGTTTTCCCCACAGGTGGGCAGGGTCGTGACGTTCTATCCAATGCCGACCAGGTCTATGGGAATCAACAGGTAGCTAACATTACTCACTGGACCAGACAGTTGTTCATAGAACATCAGCTTGCGAATAACTATTTATTTTGTATTATTGTGTCTGCGAATAACTATTTATTTGTATTATTGTGTCTGCGAATAACTATTTATTTGTATTATTGTGTCTGCGAATAACTATTTATTTTTTATTTATTACTGTGTCGACAACAACTGTAAAGTTTAGTCATGGTGTGGCGCTCAGTACCAGGACGTGAACCTAAAAGCTGGTGGGGGTAGCATTTCATTGGTTACTTAGAAGTCGAGCAGAGGTAACGTAGCTAACTAGCAAACTACATTTATCTATCTAAATCAAAATCTAGCTAGCTAGCTTTCATAATACGCTCGCAAGACATTCCAAAGCAAATACATGTAATTAACCAGCTGCTATCTGTCGATGTGATATGTAATGTTAGCTTCACCCTACCGGACCATATCTAACCGTTAGCTAGCTACAGTAGACTGCTACTGCAGAAACTAACATGACTGGTGTATGTGTTCTATTTACAGAGTCCGATCCCATCAACATATGCAGCGGCATCAATTAGTGACCCCATGATGAGCAAATAAATATACTGGAGCTAGGCATAAACATGGTCTGTGTCTTGTTGTAATAGTTGGTGAGGCTACAACTTCTACTGTAGTGGTCTCTACATTATATATTATTGTATCTATATTATGGAGGCTTAGTTGATTGTTTATGGGGCGGACAGGTAGCTTAGTGGTAAAGAGCGTTGTGCCAGTAACCGAAAGGTCGCTGGTTCTAATCCCCGAGCCAACTAGGTGAAAAATCTGTCGATGTGCCCATGAGCAAGGCACTTAACCCTAATTGCTCATGTAAGTCGCTCTGGATAAGAGCGTCTGCTAAATGACTTTTAAAAAATTAAAAATGGGAGAAAGCAGTTATTAGGGACAGTTGGAGATTTACTGAGGTGGGGGAAATAGGGGAGGGTTGTTTAGTTTTTTTATTGGGCACAGGGAAGGGTAGTGCATTTTTTCCCCTGGTTTACATTCACTCTTTTGAAGTTTTTACTATACACAGAGTGTACAAAACATTAAGAACACCTTCCTAATAGCCTAAATTCGTCAGGGTTGTTTCGTTTTTTATTGGGCACAGGGAAGGGTAGTGCATTTTTTCCCCTGGTTTACATTCACTCTTTTGATGTTTTTACTATACACGGAGTGTACAAAACATTAAGAACACCTTCCTAATAGCCTCAATTCGTCAGGGCATGGACTCTACAGGGTGTCAAGCTTTCCACAGAGATGCTGGCCCATATTTACTCCAATGCTTCCCACAGTTGTATCAAGTTGGCTGGATGTCCTTTGGGTGGTGGACCATTCTTGATACACACGGGAAACTGTTGAGCGTGAAAAATCCAGCAGCGTTGCTGATCTTGACACACTCAAACCGGTGTGCCTGGCACCTACTACCATACCCCGTTCAAAGGCACTTAAATCTTGTCTTGCCCATTCACCCTCTGAATGGCACACATACACAATCCATGTCGCAAGGCTTAAAAATCTTTAACCGGTCTCCTCCATTTCATCTATACTGATTGAAGTAGATTTAACAAGTGATATCAATAAGGGATCATAGCTTTCACCTGGATTCACCTGGTCAGTATATGTCATGGAAAGAGCAGGTGTTCCTAATGATTTGTCCACTCAGTGTATAATTTCTTCCATCCTAGACACATTTCCTCAACTGCTTGCATGCACCTCCCCTAAATCAAGGTGTTTTGGTACTTCCCTTATGACCTACGCTTTTCAACAACCCTAACCTTTACTATACCACAGGTCAATATAGTCTACCAGTCTGTCCATCCTGCCCTCTATCCACCATTCATAGGGACAATAGTGGTAGGTGGATCATTTGTCCGGATTTGCAAAAAGCATTAAAAGCTGCATACATTTTCAATATGAATCCACAAGAACAAATAGGAATAGCTGATAGGCAGCAGAGAGGCCAGGTGATAGGCAGCAGAGAGCCAGGTGATAGGCAGCAGACAGGCCAGGTGATAGGCAGCAGAGAGGCCAGGTGATAGGCAGCAGAGAGGCCAGGTGATAGGCAGGCAGCAGAGAGGCCAGGTGATAGGCAGCAGAGAGGCCAGGTGATAGGCAGCAGAGAGGCCAGGTGAAGGCAGCGAGGCCAGGTGATAGGCAGCAGAGGCCAGCAGAGGCCAGGTGATAGGCAGCAGAGAGGCCAGGTGATAGGCAGCAGAGAGGCCAGGTGATAGGCAGCAGAGAGGCCAGGTGATAGGCAGCAGAGAGGTCAGGTGATAGGCAGCGGAGAGGCCAGGTGATAGGCAGCAGAGAGGCCAGGTGATAGGCAGCAGAGAGGCCAGGTGATAGGCAGCAGAGAGGCCAGGTGATAGGCAGCAGAGAGGCAGGTGATAGGCAGCGAGAGGCCAGGTGATAGGCAGCGAGAGAGGCCAGGTGATAGGCGGTGATAGGCACAGAGAGGCCAGGTGATAGGCCAGCAGAGAGGCCAGGTGATAGGCAGCAGAGGCCAGGTTGATAGGCAGCAGAGAGGCCAGGTGAGGCAGGTGCTAGGCAGCAGAGAGGCCAGGTGATAGGCAGCAGAGAGGCCAGGTGATAGGCAGCGGAGAGGCAGGTGATAGGCAGCGGAGGCCAGGTGAAGGCAGCGGATAGGCCAGGTGATAGGCAGCAGAGAGGCCAGGTGATAGGCAGCAGAGAGGCCAGGTGATAGGCAGCAGAGAGGCCAGGTGATAGGCCAGGTGATAGGCAGCGGACAGGCCAGGTGATAGGCCAGGTGATAGGCAGCAGACAGGCCAGGTGATAGGCAGCAGAGAGGCCAGGTGATAGGCAGCAGAGAGGCCAGGTGATAGGCAGCAGAGAGGCCAGGTGATAGGCAGCGGACAGGCCAGGTGATAGGCAGCTGATAGGCAGCGGACAGGCCATGTGATAGGCAGCAGAGAGGCCAAGTGATAGGCAGCGGACAGGCCAGGTGATAGGCAGCGGACAGGCCAGGTGCATCATTGCGCAAGAAAGAACAATGCAGACATGAGACACAGAGCTCAAAAAGCTCCCCTATTGATATTCTTGGTTAGGGACAATACAATTATCATACCTAGACTAGCCTATCTAGACTTGCATTATTGTTTTCAAGTGAGTACAACATTCTGCCCTAGGCTGCAGTAAAAATGTAATTTGAATGACAGCGCAAAAGCCCTGTGATTTGAATTTTTCGTTCCATTTGGATCAGTTGTACTCTCAACAGTTTATAAGGTCTCGAAAGGCACGGCAGCAGGCCAGTCCGTCAGCATTTTTCTTCTGATACTGAGATTTGCTGTCTGTTGCAGATCATCATTCTCCCAAGTCGTCCTATAATAATGTGTCCACATATGCTCCCGGCAGACCCAGTTATGTAGGCAAGCTTAACATGCTTTGCCTCTTCTCCTCACGCACCTAGAACCTAACACTTCAATAAAGCCTAAATATTTGTCATTTAACTTTTAAAATGTATTACGTTTTATGCAGTGGAGGCTGCTGAGGGGAGGACGGCTCATAATAATGGTTGGAATGGAGCGAATGGAATGGCATCAAACACATGGAAACCATGGAAACCATGTGTTTGATTTATTTGATACCATTCCACTGATTCTGGTGACATGTGGATCAATGCTTGGCTGTCGTTTGACAAATAAAAATAAATCTTGTACTTTTGTCCATAATAATCTCATCGTGTAGCCTATACCTGCAATGCACATGGCAGTACCAGAGTGGGCACGTTGGCTATACCTAGCAAAACATTTTGTGACAAACCCATCAGTAAGCCTAGAGTTGAAAATGTGATGGAAACACATTTAAAAAATGTTTTATGAACACTAGGTATTTACGCATAGACTTGTATCCGCAACAAGTCAATTTGATGGAAACAGAACTCTGATGGGAAAATGCGCATATTGTTTTTAATGCAGAT